TTAAGTGCGCGCCATAATATCATATACTCCATAGTGGATTTCGACCATAATTGATTCCGAACACAGGGGCTGTATTCACAAGCTCCCCCCCCCCCCACCCCAAAAGAAAAAAATGAGGATTCCCCATGTTTGGGTCCAAAATGCATTTATTTGGGGGGCAGACTACCATTTTTTATGTTTTCAGAATTTTTTGGACGTATTTGGTATCGAAATCCTATTGGTGCCATGTAATGTTTTATTTCATGCTACTTTTGCTACTACAAAGATCTGTGCAAAGCAACTGAGGTATGGGGTATGCAAGCAACTTTCCCCTTTGAATATCGGCAATTGGTTGATGCTAAAAGCACGACATTTGAAATAATCAGTTCACTATTTCCCATTTTTTGCTTCGGCTTTTTTACCCATGGATCTTATGTCATATAGGCATTTCTTTTCATTTTTACTCATAACATCCTCTTGGGTTTCACCACACCTGGTTTTTTTTTTTTTTTGGCATTTTTATCTACGCTTTGATGCCATATCCATGTTTTTTATTTTTATTTTTTTTATTTTTTATTTTTACTTCTTATACCTTGAGTGGTTTTCACCACATCTGGATTTTTTGTTTCTTTTTAATTTTTCATTTTTTTGGGGCCACCATAATGAATGCCAATACCCCAAAGTTGCGTACAGTTTAGTCTCATATGGAAAAGACTTGAAATGTGGTGGATTGGGGTGATGATGCATATCACCAAAGGTTTTGATCCACCTGCGAGACGGAGGAGTGTGCCAGTCTTGATGCGGTCCATTAAGGATTAAGTAGGGGCGTGACCATGGGTGGTGCCTTCGGGATCGAGGCGAGTACAAACTCACTAAGGAGTAACGATGCCACTGAGGATGTGGATGTCCAAAGGTTCGGTCTCACAATGTCCAGACACTCCTGGAAGCTTTCTTCGTAAGATTGGCCTTCATGAAGCAAATGAGAGTCTCAAAAGCGAAGATCTTGTGGGATCTGAGCACTTTCAAGGCCGATTTTAGAACTGGTTCTCATTGAAATAGCTCAGAGGCTCAAGGGTCCGACTTTGTCCGGTAGATCTCGGGTCGTGTCTTCCAGTATCGCCCTTGAAAGGAAAAAAAACAAAGGGTTTTGAGACAAAAGCGAGAGAGAGGGTGGTGGAGAATGAGGATGAGGGGGAAGACGAGGGATAAGGAGGCAGTGATGCTGCTGGTTTTATGAGTAAGGGAAATGGGAGAAGGGATGAAGAGGGGCCTGAGATGATTTAAAGAAGGAAGCAAAGAAATAAGGACACGGTTTCTACGAATTCATATAGAAATGAGTCGACTCTTAAAAAACTATTTTTGAGATCTTTCCCACCCAATTTTGGAGGACATGTACAAACATGTACAAAATAGAGATAATGAATATAAATAAATAAATAAAATTTAAGATATACGAATAAGGATTTTGTGAAGAAAATATTTGGATTGTTAGTTTCAATTGCTTTTAGATAGACCACCTAATTGCATTACGTATTATAGAAATAAGATCTAGCCCGCATGAAACAAATTTCCAAGAAAGAAAGGGATGGTAAGAGAGAGTGATGCCACATGCCTTATCTCTTAGGAAAAAGGTGAGTCCTACAGCAGTCCAAACACGGTCCGAGGTCCAGTCCCGGATCTCCTAATCAAAGTTCTAATAGCAAAATATAGGCGGTCTGAAGATGAGGACCTCGGATTTCTTTTTGCACTACCTTAAACCTTAGGGCACAGCCTTACTATTGAACTAAATTAAAATTAAAAAATTAAAAAAATTAAAAAGTGGTCCAATGATAGCATTTTCGAATATAGGGGCAATATAAAAAAAAATTAAAAATCATAGAGACCGCACTTCCGCATAATTTTTTTCTAAAATTGACCAAACTCGTAGAAATTTGGGTTTCACATCTGTGTTTACGGTTTAGAGAGAGAAAAAGGAAGAAGGAAGAGAAGAGAGAAGGAAGAACGAAAAAGGTCGAGAAAAAAATAACTCATAGCCATTATTAGGGTTTATAAAAAGACGAATAAGGACAAAAATAGTGGTCATGGGCTTCACAAACCCCAATGGAAGAGGCCCTGATTTTTAGAAAGAGAAAAAAAAGAACCCTAATGAAAGACGCTCTAACTTATTTTAAGAGAGAGAAAATGAAGATGGGATGCTAATTTGGGATATAGTTCAGAGAGAGTCTTTCATTTTCTTGGAGAAACAAGATAGTTTGAAGAGGGATTTTCTTTGTCTTGGGGAAACAGCAAGCAAAGCTGAAGGATTAAATTAGGGAAACTAATCTTATATGTACAATTGCTTGCTCCTGTAAGTTTACAGCTTACACGATCAAAAACAAATTATTGATTACTTGGTCCAGTAGTCACACTCTCTGCTTCTCATTCAGCAATAAAAGACTACGTTTTGAGCTCTAATTTGTGCCATAAACAGTATTTTCATAAAAATAATTATCGCAAATAATCACATAAATATGCATGTATATGATTTCTTTACATAATGATTTACTTTACAAAATGATTTGCTACAAACAATAATTCATTTGCACAATGATTTTCCATAATAACAACTGAAATCTACATCTATTTGTTTAAGCTTTTAAAAAAATTCATACCATCAATCTGCAACTGTGGCTTTGAAGAACACAGTGGGGATATAAGTTTCTATTTTAGGTTTTTT